AGAAGGGAAAGATGACTGAATTACATACAGGGCTCTCAATCACTGGTCATTCAGGTTTAACTTATCAACTCGGTACTCAATTTGGTAGTCAAAAAAATAATTAGCCCCACAAACCTCAGATAAGTTTAGCAGCTTGGATATCTGCTTGTCTGTCTGGAAAAGACAAGAAATTAATTAGCAACCAGGGATGTAGCTACGAAATGCGGATATGATTTTCATTGAACCAGTCAGCATTTTTTGCAAAAGGCCTGGAACAAATTTTTTGTTTCCAATCTTTTGCAATGTTTTAAATGTGGGGCTACCAAGCTTCACATTTGCAAGATGGTAGACACAGTACACGAAAAGAGAACACGCTAAACAAGTGCCCAAAACAAGACTTTATTTCAATCACTTTACTTGTTATCGTGGCATCAGTACACGAGGTAGTCAGGAATTTATTGCAAACTTTTCATTTAGACGGTTTGATATGGTTCAGATATTGAATGATTATACGTGCGTAACCTAAAAACCATTTGTTTTCCTTTACCAAGTGATTGCCTGCCAAAATCCAGCTGGCAATTATCTCTTCTCAGCTGGGACTTTGGGACAACCCTGAGCAACCATAAAATACATGTACAAACAAAGATAAAGATAGGACAAAAACTGACTCAGATGTCACTTTTTTTGTTGTCGGCCACTAAAAAGTCAAAGAAACTGAGCCTTTTTTAAGACCTTGGCGATGTTTAGCAGGAAACTTTGAACAACAAATGCCAAAATTATGCTAACTGTTATAATTCTAAGTACCTCTTTGTCACCTGTTTTGGCATCATCAGTGCTTGAGAACTCACTCTGAAACCTGCATTTTTAAACAAAGAATACAAAATTACAGTTTTGATAGCAAAAAATATCTTAGCAAGCTTTCTTGAGTACTTGCTCATGAACAATGTTTCAACAAGTTAGTCATCACAAACAGCGAGAACATAGTGACCAAATCTTGCAAAACTTTCCATTTTAAACTACCGTATCAAGCTCGACTGACTGAACTTAGTAATAAAACAGCACCACATGTATAATGAAGAACATAGGTCTGCAATGCATACATGTGTATGCTACTGCTTTTAAAACATTATTGTTCATAAATAAAATGAAAACCCATCTGTTACTTTCTAAATGTACTTACATGTAATTGTTGTTATAAATTCATATAACATAACTGTAAAATTGAATCAAATATAAAATATTTAACTGCATTGATTGCAATGTTAGAAAATGTTACTGTGATTAATGTTAATTGAAGGGGTGCATGGAAAAAGACCCTAAGGACATCTGATAGACC